CCCCCAAAGAGCAGCTTCCCACTTGGCTGTGCCTCTTCCTAGCCTCTGTTTAATTCCATCTTAGGTCATGACCAATGTCTCCTTGTCTGCAACCCCTGCAGATGGTGAGCACCATGAGGTTGGGGCTGTTCTGTCCTGTGTATCTCCAGCACCTTGCAACATGCTGGCACAAAGTAGGTGCTCATTAAATGTGTGTTAAATGCTAATAATAACAATATGGTCACATATGAGACTAATTGCCACCTCCCACTGAGCCTTTCCTCTATGACAGGCACCATACCAAGCACTCTATAGATACTATCACCACCCTTGTCACAATCCCACAAGAGGGATATGATTTGCTCAAGTTTTTTAAAAGGAGAGTAAAAGTCAGTAGGTCTAGGTAGCTCCTGGTTGTACCATGATTTGAACTCAGGTGTCAAATCTCTAGTCCCTTCCTTTAAACCAGAGGTCAGCAACTTTTCCTCTAAAGGAACAGATGATAAATATTGTCAGTTCTGCGGCCCAGACAGTCACTCAACTCTGGTCGCAGCACAAAAGTAGCCATAGACAGTATGTAAATGAATGTGCCAATAAAACTTCATTGTCCAAAACAGGTGGCAGGCTGAATTTGACCTGTGGGCTGTCATTTGCCACCTCCTGTGCCATTCTACATGCTGTTTATTTCAGGTCACTGTGGATGGCCTCCCGGACCCTCCTGGAGCTCCAGTCCTCCAACCAGAGCCAGCTCTCCCCTCCCAATGCCACATCCTGTGACCATGCTCCAGAAGCCTGGGACCTGCTGCACAGACTATTACCAGCATTTATCATCACCATCTGCTTCTTCGGCCTCCTGGGAAATCTTTTCGTCCTGTCTGTCTTCCTCCTGCCCTGGCGGCGACTGAACGTGGCAGAAATCTATCTGGCCAACCTGGCAGCTTCTGATCTGGTGTTTGTCTTGGGCTTGCCCTTCTGGGCAGAGAACATCTGGAACCAATTCAACTGGCCTTTCGGAGCCCTCCTCTGCCGCATCGTCAATGGGGTCATCAAGGCTAATTTGTTCATCAGCATCTTCCTGGTAGTGGCTATCAGCCAGGACCGCTACTGTGCACTGGTGCATCCCATGGCCAGCCGAAGGCAGCGGCAGCGAAGGCAGGCCCAGGCCACCTGCGTGCTCATCTGGGTCGTGGGGGGCCTCTTGAGTACCCCCACGTTCCTGCTGCGATCCGTCAAAGTCCTCCCAGATCTGAACATCTCTGCCTGCATCCTGCTGTTCCCGCATGAGGCCTGGCACTTTGCAAGGATGGTGGAGTTAAACGTTCTGGGTTTCCTCCTCCCGCTAGCTGCGATCATCTTCTTCAACTACCACATCCTGGCCTCCCTGAGAGGGCGGGGAGAGGTCAGCAGGACACGGTGTGGGGGCCCAAAGGAGGGCAAAACCACGGTACTGATCCTCATGCTCGTGGCCACCTTCCTGGTCTGCTGGGCTCCCTACCACTTCTTTGCCTTCCTGGAATTCCTCCTACAGGTACGAGCCATCGGAGGCTGCTTCTGGGAGGATTTCACTGACTTGGGCCTGCAGTTAGCCAACTTCTTTGCTTTCATCAACAGCTGCCTGAATCCAGTGATCTATGTCTTTGTGGGCCGGCTCTTCAGGACCAAGGTCTGGGAACTTTATAAACAATGCACTCCTAGAAGTCTTGCCCCAAAGTCCTCGTCCCCTAGGAAAGAAATCCTCCAGCTTTTCTGGAGGAATTAAAACAGCCGTGAACCAAGAAGCTTGGCTTTCTTGTCAATTACCTCTGACATAATAATAAATACTATTGTGATAGGCCAAATAATAACCCCCAAAGATATCCAGGATCTGGTCCCTGAATGTCACCTTATACAGCAACAGGGACTTTGCAGATTGTATTAGTCCATTTCTGTTGCTTATAACAGAATACCTGGAACTAGGTAACTTACAAAGAAATAAAATATTCCTTACAGTTTGGAGGCTGGGAAGTACAAAGTCCAGGGAACACATCTGGTGAGCCTTGTTGGTGACGACTCTGCAGCAACGCAGGGTGTCACACGGTGAGAATGGCAGAAGTAAGAGAGAGCAACCTCTTCACTTGCTCTTTCTTTTTTCTTTTTTTTGGCAGCTGGCCAGCATGGGGATCTGATCCTGTGGCCTTGGTGTTATAAGGCTGTGCTCTAACCAACTGAGCTAACAGGCCTGCCCCTTTCTTGCTCTCCTTTTTGAGCATCAGAACCACGCCCATTACTCCCATTAAACCATCAATGGATTAATCCATTCACTAGGGCATGGTCCTCACAATCTAATCACCTCTTAAAGGCCCCACCTGTCAATTACCAGAACAGGATTTCCCACCTCAACACTGTAACAGCAGGGATTAAGCTTCCCACATGAGTTTTGGGGGAACAAGCATATCCAAATCATATCACACGTGCAATTAAACTAAGGATCTTGAGATGGGGAGATGATCCCGGATTATCCAGTGGGGCCACATATAATCACAAGAGTCCTTAAAAGAGGGAGGCAGGGGGGTCACAGTCAGGAGATGTGACAACAGAAGCAAAGGTCAGAGTGATGCAGAAAGGGCCTTGAGCCAAGGATTGCCAGCGCCCTCTAGAGGCTGGAAAAGCCAATGAACGGATTCTCCCCTGGAGCCTCCAGAAGGAATCAGCCCTACTGATACCTTGACTTTAGCCGGGCAAAACTAATTTTGGATTTCTAACTTCCAGAACTGTTAGGAGAATAAATCTGTGTTGTTTTAAGCCATCTAGTTTGTGGTAATTTGTTACAGCAGCGACAGGAAACTAATACAAGTATCCAGTAAGAGTCTCATGCCATTTCCTTTTGTCCACTCAAAATCTTCTAGGTTAATTCTTAGGAATACAGAAATGATATAACTAGAGATCCTATCCACAAAGAACTCACATGCATCAAAATATTACAATACAAAGAAGAAAATGAGAGATTGCATGAGCACACTACAGATCCAGCGTCTGGAGCCTTCAGAGGGAAAGGTGACGGGTTCCCTCTCAGGTTATAAGGGAAGACGTTGTGAAGGGACAAAACTGGGAGCTGAGTTTCAACCAAAGGAGGAATCTGGAGACAGGGAGGAAGGGCTGGTGGTGGACATGTGTGTGCTGCTCACAAAAGAATACTGTGCGTGTTTTTGTTGAACACTTAATGCATCCGCGTTCCTGCTACCGGGGACCCAGCAGTGAGCCTGGCAATGTCTCTGCTCTTAAGGAGCTAATGGCAACAGGGACGATAAGTAGGAGAGTGTCATAGAGTGGGGTAACCGCCACCATCAGGGTGAGAGACGGTGCTACAAGAGCGCAGAGAAGGGCATCCGGCCTGGGTGGCTGGCAGGAATGGTTAGAGAGCGTTTCCCAAAGGAGAAGACATAAGCTGAACCCCAGAGAACAAACAGTTGGCCAAGCAAAACAGGGAAAAGGAGTGTTCCAGACAAGTGAAACAAACCAGGCTCAGAGGCAGGTGGGTTTATAGGTGAGGAGGGAGAGGTTGAACATAGGGAGGTCAGGAGTTTGAGGTTGGAGGAGCATGGGCGTGTTGGGAGGGGCTATGTTGGGAAAATGCAAGAAAATGGACCCTCAGATGTTCAGAATCTTGCTGAGCATTTGATGTAAATAGGCACGTGCGCCCAGGTGTTCCTTGGTTATTGTCTAGTGTGATTGCGCATGTGCACCCAGGTGTCCTGGGTTATGACTTAAGTATAAAGGATGAGTGGCCCTGATCCACGGTGGCCCCCGGTCCTAGGATGTCACGGGAGGGGCCCCGGGGAGGATGCTACTGCTGCTGGAGGCTATTGCTGCTGCTGCTGCCAGTGCCCCACGGATCCCCTGAAAGGCTGCTGCTGCTGCCGCCACCGCTGCTGCTGCTACTGCTGAGGACTGAGCTCTTGTCATCTGCCAACAGCTCCCGGGATCTTTCCCAATTACCTAGCATGGGCCTGCATGTGAGGGGTCTGGTGACCCAGCCTGTACAATGGGTTTGAAGGGCCTGAGCCCTAGCCCTAGCTCTGACAATAGAAATGGAAACTTAGTATAACTAAAATAATGAAACACTTCGGCTTGAGTTATTATTTGCCTTCCTTGACAACCGGAGTAGTTGTGTAGCTTTACAGGCTACAACAGTTAACAGGCAGAGAGCGCTCACTGGGCTTCGGCTTGAGTTATTATTTGCCTTCCTTGACAACCGGAGTAGTTGTGTAGCTTTACAGGCTACAACAGTTAACAGGCAGCGCTCACTGGAGAAGCAGGGAGGTGCTCTGGGGGCTTAGAGGGCCCGGCCGAAGCTGGAAAGTGTAAGTTTGTCATGTGCATTTACTCTAGCCATGCTTGGCAGGCCCGAAAAAGACACTTGGATCACTCCAGAGCTGGGGTTTTGCCAGATGGATGGCCACAGTTCACGGGAGTTGGGGATGCTGGTCAGACCGAGGGGAATGGTTGAAGTACAGAATGAACGAACATGGTTTTGCCAGATGGATGGCCACAGTTCACGGGAGTTGGGGATGCTGGTCAGACCGAGGGGAGGTCTGGTGAGAAGGTGAGGGACGTGGAGAGGTGTCGTGTGCTGAAGGACAGGTGCAGGGGGAGCCCCTGGATGACAGCAACAACGTCTGAGGGAACATTCCAGAGGGAGAGCCACCCTAGGAAATGACGGGGCCACGTGTGGGCATGACAGATGAAATAGAAGGAAGAAGGGGGTGGAGACAACACAGTCAAGGAGCCGTGAGGTCAGGACGGGGGTGGGCTGTCCACAGGGCCCCCACAGGTAGGCAGGACCTGCAAGGCCCTGGGAGGAGAGAGTCAGTGGGCCAGGAGACGTGTGCAAGGTCGGCTTCCACGGAATGCGGGAGAGGTGCCGCAGCCAGACCCTAGGACACGGTGGGGGCGTGAGCAGCCCCCACAGCTGCACAGGGAGGGCTGGTCCTCAGGGAACAGCAGCCTGATTCAGATTCCCTCGGGAAAGGAAGGAGGCTGCTCCTGGAGCCTGGCGATGGGTCTAAGAGGCTGGCAGGGAATGGACCGCCAAGACCTTAACTGTGATAACTCTGTGATCTGTACCTCAGCCTCTGAAGGTTTCTCTGTAGACAGCAGAGTGTGCTTCAGATGGCCTGAATGTGGATCAACAGGCAGGATCCAGTCTGCACCTGTTTTTAATTTGGACCTCATGGTGTTTAAAAATGCTTTTGAGTTAATTACCAATATTTAAATTCCAGATAAGAATGCAGATTTCCAGCTTCTCGTGAACATTCGGAAGATCTAGCAACACTAGTCATGCTCAGTCATCTCTTTTCATCTTCTTAACTCCCTTGGGAGGTCTACTTCATTGTGTCTATTTTCCAGGTGAGGAAGGAAAGGACATGGAAGGAAGCTCGTGCCTGAAGGGCGGAGGCTGGATTCGCCCGCTTGCCTGACTCCAACACCAGTGCGGTTTCCAAGCCCCAAGGCAGGAATTCAGGGGGAAAAGGCTCAGTAGCAAGGTGGCAAGAGTAGGCGGGAATATCAGGCAGGAATAGAGAGCTGGAAAGGGAAAACAATATCCATTCTCTCCCCGACTCTGTGTGAGTTGACCCAAATATGCCCTCTTTCCTTCCTTCTCATGTGTGTTAAGCTTGTGACATAAAATTTCTTTCTAGGGGTTGCAAAAAATAATCCCACATTCAAGCAGAATGTGTTGGCCTGTGAAATCAGAGAACATTGCTCACAGGCCTGTAGTTCAACTGGAGACCATAAACACACTCTCAGATAAGTCAGGCACCTGATTTGCAGAACACATAGGACATTTACCATAGCCCGGCAAGCAGCCCACCAAAGGAGAGAAATTGGCAAACCCGCGCGGTAGGAATTCCGTTGCCTTTCCATTGGGAAGGTCAATCATTCGTTTGCAGAGGGAGTAGGACATTTACCATAGCCCGGCAAGCAGCCCACCAAAGGAGAGAAATTGGCAAACCCGCGCAGTAGGAATTCCGTTGCCTTTCCATTGGGAAGGTCAATCATTCGTTTGCAGAGGGAGAAATTCCTGCCTTGGTTAAAAAGATCAATGCTGTTGAAGATACTATTTTTGAATTCTTGTGTGTCTGATTGTCAGTCTCGTCTGGCATGTCTCACACCTGGGTTCAGCCCCACGCCACACCTGGGACGCTAACACCCTGGGTGGAGGAATGATTCAGCAAATGGTCTTCCAGCATCCGCAGCTCCAGTGCCCACGTGGGCTCCCACTCGTTCTCTGAGAAGGGCAAAGTAGAGATGTGGGGCCTCTTGTCCAATCCACTCCCACCTTTGGGCCTGTCCCAGGCCTATAAATCATGAGATTGATGGCCATATGTCACCTTTACTGCTCTTGTGCTGCCCGCCTCCTTCCCCTCATCCCCTATCCATCACCCCGTCCCTCACGGGGACTGAGCAGTGCTAAACCCCTGCAAATCCCAGCCCCGGGAAACTCCCCGATGTCGCAGTGGCCACGGGTGAGCTCTTGTTCTCCAGAGACAAGTCGTGAGCTTGATGATGAGCAGTGGGAAGTGTTCCAGACCCTTCCTCCCCACCCCCAACTCCCGCCCCAGCTCCCAGGGTTCTGGGGGCTTGGCCAGGGCTGAGCCGAGCCTTCAGGTCTCTGCTGAGCTCCTCTCTGGTCTCCGTGCACCTTCAGGACCTTCCTGCTTTTTCTCTTTCCCACCAGCCCCCACCACGAGTGCCCGAGAAGACAGGGCAGGGTTTGGGGTGCCCTGTGTCC